AATGAAAGTACATATAATATTACAGGTGGTCAGTCAGCTGATAGAAAAATAGAACATTCCAACTATTCCAGGTACTTGGTAATAATAACAATAGAGGATACAAATTCTGAATAGCTTTGATCTTCTGTCCACCCAAAGAGTAAAGATTTATTCATTCACACCTGAAGTAGCTAGATCTTAGTATTAATAGTTCCTGAGATACGGCCACTGCCTTCATAACGTAATGAGATTTAGAAGCTAACCCTAAATAGGTGTCACAACTAGCTTAAAAGCTAAAGTCCTAACAGTGTTTCTAGAATGAAAGAATATAAATGTTATAAGAAAGAGATCAACAGAAGGCTTTGTGGCATTCAAAGGAATAGGAGGTGATATTGGGTAATGTTTGATAGACATGGTGATATTTGAGGGGTAGAAATCATGATGTGTCCAGAGTGAGTAAAATATATCTTTAAATAAGGAAAATACATTAAACTTGTAACTTTGTCAAAGAAAATATCCAAGGTCATCTTGAATCTCCAAATTTGCAAGTATGGAAATGTTTGTACCAGGCATATGATTTTTGTCTTCTCAAAACACATTTGTCATGTTTCCTGTGTGTTATCCTCATGTAGCAAGTTAACCACATTTTCAACTTCAGTGAAAAGTTTGATCTTTTATCTAGTGAGCTATTTTCATGTTAGCTAGAATAGTTCCTGAAAAAAGTTTAGCTTTACAAATTGGGTTTTTTGCTTATTCCTTTTGTTGGAAATTCATTTACATGACAGATGAAGCCATCCTTGAACCAGATACTAGGTTGACCAAAAACTTTGGTCAGGTTTTCCATAGGTCTTATATACTAATATTTTTAATTTATCCAATAATTTTGTTTTCTGGCTAAAAGGTATCATATCCTTAAATCCTTTTACTGTCTTCATTTAACAAGTCCCCCCCTCCTCACATGATTCTGAGGCTTACAAAAGTTTGAGAACCATTGAAGTAAACAGTTCAAATTCTTGCCACCAGCATAATTACGAATTTTACAAGTCACAAAACTTCCAGGTTAATTGCTCACAAATAGTGAAAATTGAGGCTGCCAGAATTTACGGTATGAAGAAGAGAAAGCAGAGTGATGAGAATGTAGGAAAATGAACACTTTCATTTACTCAGGAGGTGGTATACATTGGTTAAGTAAGTAATAGTGCATGGTTAAATTATGGTACATAATTTATATATGGTACATACATAATAAAATATTGTGCAGCTTTGAAAAAGAAAAAAGTAAATCTGTATGAGTTAACATTTTAAAAAAGCTCAAAAGATAGTAATTAGGGAAAAAAGACAAGTTGTAGGACAGTTGTAGTTCCAGAAAAGATATAAAAGTATGTGCTTGTTATTAGAGCTTCTTGAGAAAATATACCTGAAGCTATTTATAGTTGTTGTTGGTGATAGTCGAACTTGGGAGGGTGAGACTGTGGAGGAAACCTTCAACTTTATCATCTTTTAATGTTTCATAATGTTTAAAATAACATAAGCATGTATTTTATTTTTTTAAAACTGGGTAATGAATAGCAATAACATTTTAAAAGGTGTGTGTTGGACCACATTGTAGAAACATCTCCATTAACAGGTGTTTGTAATTAATTTGCTAAAGACCCCNGTTTCATAATGTTTAAAATAACATAAGCATGTATTTTATTTTTTTAAAACTGGGTAATGAATAGCAATAACATTTTAAAAGGTGTGTGTTGGACCACATTGTAGAAACATCTCCATTAACAGGTGTTTGTAATTAATTTGCTAAAGATCCCTTGAGCTTGTTTTTTTTTTTTTTTTTATTTTTTTAATGAATAAGATCTGGAATGTGTTTTAGTATGAATAATCTGGTAGCTGAGATAGACTAAGCATTGATAGAATCAGAAGGAGAAGAGTGTAGGAGAAGAAAATAATAATTTTCCCTCCACCTTTCTAAATTCTCCACTGGGGACCCCATAGCAAGACAAACTGACAAGAGAGAAACAAACAAGCTCATTAACATGTACAATACCAAGGGAAAGTGAGTAACTCCTGGATGGCTTAGAATTATACCATCTGAAGCTAAAGGCAAAAAGAAGAGTGTAGAAGAGGTGTGGAGGAAGCGAAGTTTGATAAACCTGACCTAGGGTTGATACTCAAATTGAAGTGCATTCTCCATTAATAGATTTCTTGTGCTTTAATCATCTTCTCTTCCTTGTACAAAGGGAGATGCAGATGGAGATTTCTTTTATCAAAAAATGTGAATTTAACTTGGTGGTTTAGTCGCTAAGTCGTGCCCGACTCTTGCACCCCCATGGACTGTAGCCTGCCAGGCTCCACTGTCCGTGGGATCTCTAGGCAAGAATGCTGGAGTGAGTTGCCATTTCCTTCTCCAGAGGATTTTCCCGACTCAGGAATTGAACCCAGACCTCCTGCATTGCAGGCAGATTCTTTACCAACTGAGCTACGAGGGTAATGTCTACTCTGTTTTCTAAGCCTCTCTTGTGTCTGCTGTTTCTCTGAAATAATCAGCTCAAAATAATCCTTATGCAAAAAGAGTACACCTTGGGGTGTGTAACAACCATACCCTTGTTTATTGAGCTTTGCCTGAAAACCTGGCTTTCCCTTCCCCAGCATCTTTTGTCTTTAGCTTAAGATGGGATGTAGGTGACGTGCTGTGCTTAGTCACTCAGTCGTGTCCGACTCTCTGTGACCCCATGGACTGTAGCCCACCAGGCTCCCCTGGCCATGGGGATTCACCAGGCAAGAACACTGGGGTGGAATTGCTGTGCCCTCCTCCAGGGGATCTTCCCAACCCAGGGGTCAAACCCGATCTCCTGCGTTGCAGGTGGAGTCTGCCATCTGAGCCACTAATGGCTTTGGGTCATTTTGGAAGTTAACTCAGTTTTCCTGGGTATCTCTGATGTATACAGGAAGTATATTGTATATGTTACTAAACTTGTTTTTCTCCTGTTAATCTGTCTTTGATTACAGTGGCGTTTCAGCCAGTAACCTAGAAGGGTAGAAGGAAAATTGCTTTCCCTCCCCCCCAATTTTACAATTTTGCAAAGAGTTTTGGATTATCCTAAATTTCTCATGGACTTCCCTGGTGGCTCAGACAGTAAAGCGTCTGTCTAGAATGCGGGAGACCTGGGTTCGATCCCTGGCTCGGGAAGATTCCCTGGGGAAGGAAATGGCGACCCACTCCAGTACTCTTGCCTAGAAAATCCCATGGACGGAGGAGCCTGGTGCAGGCTACTGTCCATGGGGTCGCAAAGAGTCGGACACGACAGTGTTCCTTATAATTTATTTAAATACATTTCCATGTATTCCTTTTTCACTTGTTTTTAAAATAATTCTTTAAAAAAATAAAAGTAAAATAATTATTGAATTAAGCACACAGATAATCTGAAATCCTACTTCAATCTTTATTCTCCTTTTAATTATAGGTTGTAATTTATGTCTTCACATAATAACTTATTTGAAATCTAATGTCATGAACCTTACCTGATAGATCAGTTCAGTTCAGTCACTCAGTCGTGTCTGACTCTTTGCGACCCCATGGACTACAGTACACCAGGCCTCCCTGTCCATCACCAGCTCCTGGAGTTTACCCAAACTCATGTCCATTGAGTCAGTAATGCCATCCAACCATCTCATCCTCTGTTGTCCCCTACTCCTCCCACCTTCAGTCTTTCCCAGCATCAGGGTCTTTTCCAATGAGTTAGTTCTTCGAATCAGGTGGCCAAAGTATTGGAGTTTCAGCTTCAGCATCAGTCCTTCCAATGAACACCGAGGACTGGTCTCCTTTAAGATGGACTGGTTGGATCTCCTTGCAGTCCAAGGGATTCTCAAGAGTCTTCTCCAACACCACAGTTCAAAAGCATCAATTCTTTGGTGCTCAGCTTTCTTTATAGTCCAACTCTCACATCCATACATGACCACTGGAAAAACCATGGCCTTGACGAGATGGACCTTTGTTGACAAAGTAATGTCTCTGCTTTTTAATATGCTGTCTAGATGTTCTCCCCTTTAAAAAAGCAGTCGTCAGGGAACTCATGCAATTCTGCTTTTCTGCCAGCAGGTGGCAGACTTCCCATCTCATGGCACAGTGCTTCATTTCTAAATTACCTTTCTTGTTAATGCACTTTTATGTTTGTTTACTCTTTGTTGCTTTAACCTGAAGTGAAGCAGAAGGTACCGCCCCACAAGGTGCCATTTTGGCGTGTGAAATCTTTGGCGTTGAAGGCAGTCAAGATGCAGCCGACTCAAGAAAAGCTTTTTACCTCCTCCTTACCTGCCTAAAAATTTAGGAGGGAGTCCTGTACCATGAGAGAGCTATTACCAAAGATCACAGTTTTCATCTGGGACATTTCCCTACATAGAGGGACAAATGTTTGCTTACCAAACGTTTGATCTTCCCCTCTTCCTGGGAATTGCCTTCCTCCCCTTTGAAGCCCCAGACCCCTGCCTTTTTCCCCTTAGCTCAGCATTGTGTAATATATAAGCCTTGATCAATTGCCTGGCTGTCTTTGGGGCTCATATCTTTGTGGGGGCTCTTGTAGCTACGAAGTTAATTTTTTCTGTTAATCTTTCTTTCTAGTATAGGGGGATCTCACAGGAACCTAGAAGGGTAGAGAGAAAATTATTTTTCCTCTCCTCCTAAAAACTATTAAGCTTTGAAATTTAAGCCAAGTAAGACAGTATTTTGCTCTTACAGATGTAAATGCCATTTGTCTCCTTTTTTCTGATTTATGTTCTCCATTTTCAAGGTGCTAATAGGTTACAGAGTTGTTTAGCAGTTGTTGGAGAGTTGCTCAATGTGTTTGGCAAGTTCCTGCTTGTAATTAGGTGGAAGTAGATGATCACAGGTTTAACATTATGTGGGTTCCTGCAAGATCCTTCCTGCCTCTATCTTCTTTGAAGACTTGTCATGGTACAGCCTTCTCATTTACCTTACCTCAGATGTCCTACTAGGAGTCTGGGTTCAAAGTAACACCATCAACAAAAATAATAATAGTTGTGTTATTATACAGTCTTCCCGCATAAACAGTTTGTCTGTTCATCTCAATTTCTCTCAGTCACACTTTTAGCGTTCAGAGGGAATGAGACACTTGATAAATTTTAATACAGGGAGATAGGAAAAACTTGAGAACCTAGCCAAGCTTTATAGCATAGTGAAATGTTACAAAGAAGAAACCCACTGAAGTTCCCTAAGATAAAAAGGGACTACACCAACATTAGAACTGGGAATTAATTAGAAACTGCGTTGCATTTGGCTTAGTCTGGCACTGTCTTGTTATCTTGTATATCCAGGTAGTGCCAAACTATGTTTGCCACATGCTAGTTACTCAGTAAATGTTAATTCTTCTATCTTCTTCCTTCTATAAATAAACAAAGCTATTCTTTTCCCATCTTATTTTAGACATGATGTTTTCATATAGTATGTTCATACTAAGTAATGCATTTAAAAATTATCTCTAATTTTATTTGATAACAGTATTTTATTTGAGACCTCAGATTTGGAGGTAAAAACTGAATGGTTTTATCATGTCATACATCTTTCTCAGAGTTAAAAATATTAAAAAGAACGAGAGATATACAGCATTATGCCAAATTTTGAGCAACATCTTTTCATCTGCATTCCTGCTGTCATCTTTGTAGATGGTTCAGCTGGCCTGGGAAGCACACGTGGAGGATTGGCACATACCCTCGTGGCATTTTCGGTTAATTTCACTGTAATGTACAAGAAGCATGAGTCATTATAAAGGATAAAGCCACGTGCATTTGACTCGCTTTTGAGTCCCCTCTAGTGTACTTACAGCGAGCACAGAGCTTGATCGTTAACAGACTTAATTAACTCAGGGGGTCTGCACCATGTGTGGATCTCCAGTCACTTGATTCAGCTTTAGGGGAGTTTTGATGCTTGACTCGTGAATACCTGAATTATGATTAAGCTTTTTATAAGGAATTTCTCCATTTTAAAATGATTTGCCTATTTTATACTTAATCTCCCATTGATTCTTCCTCTTTTTATTTCTGAGATAGTATATGCTGATATAAAATTAGTATATCTAGATGAAGGGAAAAAATCTGCAATTTTAACCAACCAAAAAAGCCCGTATTTTCTTTTTTTTTTTTTCTTCCATTTATTTTTATTTGTTGGAGGCTAATTACTTTACAACATTGCAGTGGTTTTTGTCATACATTGAAATGAATTAGCCATGGATTTACATGTATTCCCCATCCCGGTCCCCCCTCCCACCTCCCTCTCCACCCGATCCCTCTGGGTCTTCCCAGTGCACCAGGCCCGAGCACTTGTCTCATGCACCCAACCTGGGCTGGTGATCTGTTTCACCCTAGATAATATACATGTTTCAATGCTGTTCTCTTGAAACATCCCACCCTCGCCTTCTCCCAGAGTCCACAAGTCTGTTCTATACATCTGAGTCTCTTTTTCTGTTTTGCATATAGGGTTATCGTTACCATCTTTCTAAAGTCCATATATATGTGTTAGTATACTGTAATGGTCTTTATCTTTCTGGCTTACTTCGCTCTGTATAATGGGCTCCAGTTTCATCCATCTCATTAGAACTGATTCAAATGAATTCTTTTTAATGGCTGAGTAATATTCCATGGTGTATATGTACCACAGCTTCCTCATCCATTCGTCTGCTGATGGGCATCTGGGTTGCTTCCATGTCCTGGCTATTATAAACAGTGCTGCGATGAACATTGGGGTGCACGTGTCTCTTTCAGATCTGGTTTCCTTGGTGTGTATGCCCAGAAGTGGGATTGCTGGGTCATATGGCAGTTCTATTTCCAGCTTTTTAAGAAATCTCCACACTGTTTTCCATAGTGGCTGTACTAATTTGCATTCCCACCAACAGTGTAAGAGGGTTCCCTTTTCTCCACACCCTCTCCAGCATTTATTGCTTGTAGACTTTTGGATAGCAGCCATCCTGACTGGCGTATAATGGTACCTCATTGTGGTTTTGATTTGCATTTCTCTGATAATGAGTGATGTTGAGCATCTTTTCATGTGTTTGTTAGCCATCTGTATGTCTTCCTTGGAGAAATGTCTGTTGAGTTCTTTGGCCCATTTTTTGATTGGGTCATTTATTTTTCTGGAGTTGAGCTTCAGGAGTTGCTTGTATATTTTTGAGATTAATCCTTTGTCTGTTGCTTCATTTGCTATTATTTTCTCCCAATCTGAGGGCTGTCTTTTCACCTTACTTATAGTATCCTTTGTTGTGCAAAAGCTTTTAAGTTTCATTAGGTCCCATTTATTTTTGCTTTTGTTTCTAAAATTCTGGGGTGTAAAGCCCGTATTTTAGTAAATGTACTCCTTTCTCTTTCTATGCATATAACTGCTAAGTATCATTTTTCCCATCATACTATATAACATTGTTTTTTAAAAGATGATTCACTTGTTAATTTATTTCTTAATAACAAACTTACCTTTATTTTAATAACTATTTTATGTTACTTCGGTATTATATCATATATGAATATCATCAATTATTTAGCAAGTTCTTCATTGTTGAGCATTTAGCTTGTTTCTTATTTTCTATTATTATAAATAATGGATCAGTGAACATTCTTGTAGCATCTATGCATGTCCATGTCTGTTTGTTTAAATGGAATTGTTGGAGCAAAGCCTTTTGAATATGCTGCCAGGTTACCCTCTGGAAATGTTGTACCAATTTATACTTTCACCAGCAGTATATCTAAGTACCTAGCTCCATGTTTTCCTGGAAGTAGGTATCATTTTTTTCCTCATCTTTGCCAAATGATAGCTTTTTAAAAAAAATGTTTCTATTGCTTTTGAAGTTGAACCTTTAAAATAATTGACCATTTATTTTTTTCTTTGCTGAATCATCAGTTCTTTGTCTTGATTTGCAAGAATTTTTATAAAATGCTTTTGGCCACGAGAGTATGTTAGAAATACATTTTTCCAGTTTTTTTTTTTAATTTCACTTCCATTTTTGAGTAGCTAAATATGACCCTCCTTTTCATACCTTTGGACTAATTCCTTATAGAATGTTTTACTGACCTTAATTTGCACATAACTCCTCGTTTACACATTATGACTTCATTTTATAGCCAGGGTAGGAAAATATAGCCTATTGTTTAGTTTGTATAGCTTACTCACTAGTTTATCCTCCCAGTCATAGAATGAGGAAGGCTACTGCAGAAAAAATAGTAAAGTATTATGATTTTGTCCCAATAGATAATTTTCATTTCACTTCATAAATATGACTTAACATATACTGCCCATTGCTTCTACAGAGGTGTATAGTAACATTATATACATTTTCTTTTATTTTGGAATATATGTTTTAAAAAATCTTTATTTTCTTCTAAGTATATTATTCATTACAGAAAATTTAGAAAATACCAAGAGTATATAGTCATTTGTGACCCTGTCATTTCTCTTTGATAACTATTAATTGATTTTTGGAATATATTTGGTTCAGTCATGTTAGATGGTTATTATATTAAATTTAGTTTGTTACTGGTTTATTATTTAAACTTTTATATGTTTATTCAAAGTGAAATTAGGTATGTTTTCTCTTTCTGTCTCTTTTTGAGAGACTTTTGTCTTAGAGTTTTATACTAGTTAGTTCAGAAAAGAAATTGGATAGTTATTTCACGTGTTATAGTTTATCTAGCATGGCGCTATCTGTTAAAGTTTGAAAGAGCTCAAAAATACAAAACTGACCACAAAGCTTTTTACAGGCCATTTTCTACCAAGCTTATTTTTATAAGTTCTAATGAGCAAGTGTTCCACTGTTTGTTTTGTTTTGTTTTGGTTTGGTTTGGTTTGTTAAAGTATAGCTGACTTTAATGTGTTATTGTGTAATTAATTTAACACATAAACTAACCTGTTAGTTTCTCATGTACAGCTAGATGATTCAGATATATTTTTATAGATATCCTTTTTCAGATTCTTTTCTGTTACAGTTAATTACAAGATACTGAATATAGTTCCCTGTACTATACAGTAGGACCTTGTTTATTTTATACGTAGTGGCTTTTCTGCTACTCCCAAACTTCTGATTTATCCCTTCTCCCATCCGTTTCCCCTTTGACAACCATAAGTTTGGTTTCGTGTCACATATTTCATTATTGAATGTAATATATATTATCAAGAGGCTTCCCAGGTGGTGCAGTGGTAAAGAATTTGCCTGCCAACACAGGAGATGCAGGTTTGATCCCTAGGCTGGGAAGATCCCCTGGAGTAGGAAAAAGCAACCCACTCCAGTATTCTTGCCTGGAGAATTCCATGCACAGAGGAGCCTGTGGGACTGCAGTCCATGGCGTTGCAAAAGTCAGGCATGACTGAGCGACTGAGCACACACATGTTGTCAAAATTCTAAGATTAAGTTCTTTGGTTTGCTGTGTTGAGTTACTAACTATTCAAAGAAGTTTTGAAGGGGTTATATTTTGTTTTCTTCTACTTATACACTTCTAAAAACTCAGGTTATCAACCACTGATATCATCCATTTAATTTTAAATAATTCTTTGTTATAAGTTATTAGTTTATAAACTTGAATCTCTTTCAATAATTTTCTTCACTGTTTTCTTACCTTTTTACTTTTTAAATGAGTTTGTTTAACATAGCTAAAAGAAGGGATAGTAAGTTCAGTCTTTGTATTCTCCTTTAGGTGTACTGGATATAATACACCAATAACAAAAGCCATTAATGGCATAACTGTTTCTTACCACTTTTAATATAACCCATACCAAACTAGTAATCCCAAGCAATGCTCTTTCCTTTCAACATATAGAATACCAACTGTGTGATGTGGAAAGAGTCCAAAATTAAAACAAAAGTTTTTCTTGCTGTTATATTTCAGGCGCAGAAATTTAGACATAATAAAACAGGGACATCAATTTCAGTGCTGAGCATATTGAATAATTACTACTATTAGTAGTACATTTGAGAGGAGAGGAAGGAAGAAAGACTTCCTTCATTTATGGTATTGTCTTACACCCAGTTTTCTTGAACTTGACCTACTTATTACAACATAAATGTCATTTCCTCTAAAGGAGTTTACAGAATTTATTACTTTTTAAGTGAAAAAATAAAAAGATATAGACTATGTTCAAGAACTTCATTTGAGTTTCTGAAAATTAAGTTACTCAATCCTAGATTGTTGCATAGAGTTTTTAAGAAATGCATTGAGACCAGACCCATAGGTTTTCCTCAGTTTGTGTATATGTGTGAAAATTCATAAATGCAGCAATAAACTGTCCTAACAGTAACCAAATAGGATATGTTTTTGAAATTACTTTAAATGAGAAAAAAACTTACAGGAAAATCTTTATTTACTGTTCATTTTCCCAGCATGTAATAGTTCATTATTTTCAGCTCTGTTTTTGCTCATTAAATATTTTAAACCATATTCATATAAACATTTATATCATTTATTTCAGTTTTATTTTGACAGTCACACTGTTGAAGTTAGTTGACTTTTTTTTTTTCAGAGAAGTTTTGATAGAAGTCAGATGCCTAGACAGGTGTTTTGCATGTTTAAAAAAATGGTCTTGCTGTTTACATCATACAACAATTAGCAGGAACAAGTTTTCCAAGAGTCCTTATAGAGAGGATTACATCTCATCTATGAATTGTCTTCCTTATATGACTTTATTGCTTGGTTTGGAATAACTTCCTAGGGTGTCAGTCAAGTTCAGGTTGAAGTTTAAAATTACTTTACATAGAGGAATGATAATTGGATTATGATAAACTGTAGTTAAGTCATAGGCTGGATTATTGAGAAATAACTGTATACTACAAGTTTTATGTGGGATTATGAAGTGGTTTTTTTCATATACAACTGTTAATTAATGCAATATCTTTATTCTCTTTACTCTCTGACCAAAGATTAAAAACAAAATCAATTAATAAGTTATTAAGATTTAAATGGATAGATTTTCTCTGGACTTTGTTTTTTTATTATTTCAAAACTTTTGATGGCAAAGCATGAAGTGATCATTTTTACCTTTTCAAGTTAATTGAAAATTGACAACATCTAAACATTGTAACAAGTTATTCAGAAGTACAAATGAATATCCCTTTCTATAGTGATAAAGACAGCCAGTTTCAGTGTTATAAGGAGAGAAAAATCTGCCAAATATTTGACTCCTGCATGATCCTTTGCTCTTTGATATATCAGTTTCAGGTTTAGAGTTTCATTAGGAGTGGTATGAGTAATTACTGTTTCTATGACAGTGAATAAAGAAACTCCCAGGCAACAAGGCCCAGTCATTGTGTCCAGAGATGAAAGTCCACTGTGTGCTGTTAAAAGAGTCTGCCTTTATGACTTCTATATGACTTCTTCCTGGATCTGTTAAATCTCCTCTCAAAAAAAAAAAAAAGATCCTAGAGCTATTTGAAACAAAATTCATTTTCTTTCATTCAGTATTTTGCATCTGTCCTTCTTCCTTTTTCCTGGCGATTTTCAAAACATTGTTCTTATTGATACACATCTTTAGTCCTCTAATGTAAGTGTTATGCTTATATTATTGCCTAGAGACAGTGCTGATGTAGTAAGAAAAAAAAGTCTTCCAGCTCGTGTATGTAAGTAATAAATGACTTCTCCCAGACCTTAGATTCCTTATCTATAATGAAAAGGGAAGTATTATCTTTCTCTTAGGGTTTTACTGATTAAATTACACAGGCATACCTCGTTTTACTGCACTTTACATATTGCATTTTTTACAAATTCAAGTTTTTTGGCAATTCTGCATCAAACAAGTCTGTTGGCACCATTTTCCCAACAGCATTTACTCATGCAATGTCTCACATTTTGGTAGTTCTTGCAGTGTTTCAAACTTTTTCATTGTTACCATATCTGTTGTGGTCTGTAATCAGGGATCTTTGATGTTACTATTGCAAAAAAATTCTGACTTGGCTGGAGGCTCAGGTGATTAGCACTTTTTAGCAGTAAATTATTTTTAAATTAAGGTATATAAATTGTTTTTTTAGACATAGATGGACACCTCACCAGACATACAATCCCATCCCCATGGTGTATACTCACTTACTGGATGGAATTCAAAGGCAAACATTATCTCCTACATATGGTCAGGAATCAATACTCATATTTCGTCTCTTCTCTACTCTCCTTAGAGTAACAGGACAGAACACCATCAGAGCCAAAGCCTTCTATCTCTTCGAGACCAAAATACCCCTCTTGATAAGAAACTAGCCGTCTGTATTTTGTTTTGTTTTAGGGTCAACTGGCTGAATTCTCTGCTTTAGAAATATTCTTCAAAATAATCAATCCATGTGATGTTGACTGGTTCTGATTTTTTTTTAAACTTTCTTTTCTGATTATGGACATGATTGGTTCAACTACTATAACATTTTAATAAGCCATTTTCCCCCAAGGAACTCATTTATTTTATAAAGCTCAGAAGATAAAAATGGCCCCTTGCTCCCATTACTGATGCTGTCTTGTGTGTTCTACTTTAGACTTTCCTGTGCTTATTTAAAGATTTTCCCCCCAAAATTGGACTCTGGCTCTCGATACTCTCATAACTCCTTTCACTCAATAATAGATCATGTATATCTCAGTGTATCTGTAAGTATTGATCTCACAGAGCAGTACTGTATATTGATTTACAGGCATGGGTTCTGAAGTCACAGAAGCCTGAGTTTGAGTCCATTTCTGCCATTTGCCAGCTATGAGGATAATAGTAGCACACACCTTCTCGGGTTATGAGATGAGATGAGACGAGGTATGTCAAGTGCTTCAAAGTGTCTGGCACTCAGTAAACATACAGTAGATTGTAACTGTTTATAGTAATCATCTTTGAGAACTGTATAATTTTTATGTGTATTCCACAATTTATTCACCTCCCTTGTGTCAATAAACATTTAGATACTGGGCATTTAGGGTGTTTACACTTTCCCAGTATTATCAAGCAACTCTGCCATACATATCCTTACAACTAAATCTTCATATACTGCCCCATTTCCTTAGGGTAAAGTCCTTAGGACATAAAATTGGTCTGTCAAAGGGAATGTGTATTTCTAAAGCTCTTAATAGTATTTCTAAATTCCTTTTCAACTCCACCATTTTTTATTGTTTTCCTTAGAGAAGATTCATCTGGAGTGATCTTTTATTTTTTTTTTACTTTTAATTTTTTAATTTTTCCATTTATTTTTATTAGTTGGAGGCTAATTACTTTACAGTATTGTAGTGGTTTTTGCCATACATTGACATGAATCAGCCATGGATTTACATGTGTTCCCCATCCCGATCCCCCCTCCCGCCTCCCTCCCCATCCCATCCCTCTGGGTCTTCCCAGTGCACCAGCCCTGAGCACCTGTCTCATGCATCCAGCCTGGGCTGGTGATCTGTTTCACCCTAGGAGAAGGCGAGGGTGGGATGTTCTGGAGTGATCTTTCAAAAAGATACCTTTAAAATTCTTGTCAGTGCTAACCATTTTAATATATTAAAGGACAGTTTAGTCAACACATCCATACACAGTACAGAGGTGTTTTCAGAATGGATCACCTAGTTGCCCTTGAGCCTCCATTGTTGTTGTGTAGTCGCTTAGGTTGTGTCTGACTCCTGCAGCCACTTGGACTGTAGCCCACTAGGCTCCTCTGTCCATGGGACTTCCCAGGCAAGAACACGGGTGTGGGTTGCCATTTCCTTCTCCAGGGGATCTGCCTGACCCAGGGATCAAACCTGTGTCTCCTGCATTGACAGGCGGGTTCTCTACCACTGAGCGATCAGGGAAGTCCTGAGCCTCCATTACTAGAATATAAAAGATTTTCCTCTAAGAGGAATATTATGTTGTCAGTCTTCTCATCTTATTAAAATAAGGTAGTAATGCCAAATTTTTAACATTTGGTAGATACCAAGTTTGGGTAATTTGTTAGTGGCCTTTTTTAAAAACAACTTTTAAATTTTTTGTATCATTTGTAGCACAGAGTGCTACTTCACAGTCTGATTACTGAAATGTTATGTTGGTTCAGTTTGCTTTGAGTATAGACAAGAAAAGGCTAGTATACAAATTTATTTACATGAGTGTAGCGTAGCCCTGTCCCTCATGATAAAGCTTCCCAGAGCCAGTAACAACTTATCTATCAGGCCCTGCCACACGGTATTAGCATATTTAATCCTACGACTTAGGTTAAAAACAAGACTGATTTCTCTTTAAAGGTTAAAAATATTTACCTTCACAACAGTTTGCTTTCATTTCCAGCAGGAAGGGAGCTTTTTCAGTTTTTCAACCATAAAAATTAATTTTCAATCTGTTCAGATTTTTTAATAGATCCGTGCATTGTCTTGTTGAAATTTACAGTGTAGGAAAATATGAAGAAAAACATAAAAATCACTTTAAATCCCACTACCCTGCAATGAAGATTGTTAACAACTTACCACACTTTAATGCAAATATTGTTTTTTACATGTCTTACATGAGCTAATCTTTTTAAAGCTGTAAAATACACATGACAGAGTTTACCATTTTACCTGTTTTTACGTGTACAGTTCAGTGGCATTAAGCGTATTGACATTGTTATGAAACCACCACCACTGCTGCCATCCATCTCCAGAACACTTCATCTTCCAAACTGAAACTCTGTACCTGTTGAGCAATAGCTCCCCGCTCTCCCCTCCCCCCAGCCCTGGCAAACAGGACCTCGTCTTTTGCACTTTGTATTAAAATATCATATTCGTACGGAGAAGCACACACACAAGTGAGCTGACAACTGAATCACATAATGAGGAAGAGGGTGTTTTCAAGTGTGAAAACTATTCAGGTTCCTCTTTTCTTTGCAGAGCAAGTTGGCAGTGCTCTAATAGTACAGATTTACCTTCTGTTTCTTAACTGCCACATTGTTTTCTCTGATCCAGTTCTGTAGACTGACTGGTGACGAGTGCAGAGCTAGCAAGCCTGTCACCAGAGCATAATAAAGCCCTGTGTGGTGACACGTCACAGGACCGATTTTGCATGGAGCATGTTAGCCGAGGCTGCTGGGACCGCCCCCGGCTGCACCTTGTGCTATATTAGTGCTCCTCAGACAGGAAGAATTTTCTTTCGCTGCTGTAGCTTGTCCGGTTACCTTCAGGGTAAGTTCATATAAACAGTGAGTTTCTCTTGTTGAACTTCATCTGATTCTTAACTTGTTTCTGTGTCTTGTTGAAATTTTAGGCATTTAAAAATCCAAATTAAGTAAATTAAAATAGAATGATCCCATGTAACACAAAACGTCTTTATAGTTTGCAAAGATATGAATATATGGAAAACCTTGCAGTGTCTTGGGTCTCAGAAATGCTAATTTGTAGGATCTAATTTTAAGAGCTTCTTGTTTCACACGTAGATGTTAGGAAAAAGCCATGTACCCTCAGAAATCTCTTTTCAGGGGAAGAAAAAATCCAATCTTGTTGTTCATTTAGTTGTTGTGTGACTCAGTTTTGCTGATAGCCACATGATTTGTGTACCTAGGATCAGGAACTTTTTATTATTGCTATTAATAAAGATAATTTTTATTTTGTGCCTATAAGCTTTATCCAGGATATCATGGAATGGATTTATAATAGTTATGTTTTATAAATTGATAAAAGCTGAATTATAAAGGATTATAAAACACCATATGATGAAAATTAAGATTCAAACATACACATTACCATCGATTCAAACATATGTATTACTATAACAGCCTAGAATGTTGTGGTTAACTGAGATTTAAATAATTGAATTTGCCTTATTTTTTATAGTTAGCTAATGCAGCAGATCATTTCTTAAAGGTGGTTTACTTGGTTTTTATTGGCAGCCTGTATCCAAGCCCTACACCTCTGGATATTGTTTACTACCTATGCTGTTGTTGTAGGACAAATTGAAGGACAGAGTAACTCAAAAGTATTCTCAGGGTAATCAGTATAAATTATCTATTTTCCCTGTGCCTTGGTTTTCTTATCTTGAAAAACACTATTAGGCAGTAGGGCAGAGGAGGTGTGGAGGATAGATGAAGAAATTCTAAGCTCTGAAATTATGTATTTTCATAAGTATCTATAAAATTCTGAGAAGCCACATTTTGCCATTTAAGAAAATTGGCACAAATTTCTGATTTTTAAATAACCTTTGAAATCTGTTTTCTTCTACCACCTTCTTTTACTCTCCTACCTTTTGCTATTCACTTTCATTTTGTTTTATGTTTGTATCAAGAGACAGTTTCACTTTCCAGTTTGTACTTTTTGTTGTTGCTATTTTTTTTTCCTGCTGCCTTGAAAATCTAATCAGGGAGAATTCTTTAAATGCCCTCCAAGAAACTGATTTTATAATGTTTTACAAATAATAAATTTATAGTTCGATCTTCCATGTGCTGATCACCCTAAGTGTTACTAAAAACCCAAGCTTAGGACAAGTAATGTATGTTGCCAGAGATACGCAGTAAGATTTTTAGGACTGTTGCTGATACCCTGTCCATATTGTAGTAATACATACCTTAATATAAGTAGTACACAGTTTATCATTCAAAATTTCATTACTTTATTGTATAGTTTAAATGTTTCTGAAAGTAGCATACTTAAAGCAGAATCACAGCTTTTTAAGCTAATAATATCAATAAATTTTAATATTTTTTCACTTTCCTATAAGACAGTCAAAAGGGCCTTTAAAAGTATTCAATTTGCATTCAGATAGATACTTTAAAACTGTATAAAGGCAAATCAAATTTTTCACTTGATACAGAAATTTTCATTGATGTATAAATAATTTCAAGGGGTAAAAATAATCATCTCAGAATGAAATACCACAATAGCTAAAACTTGTCAGTTCTCAAGTTTATGCTATTCAAGTGAAGTTCTTCTTACCTCTCGCTTCAGTCTTTAGCCTTGTCCTACATATTCCTTGTAACGAACACTGTTACAGTAGAGACCTTAAGCTCATAGCAAAAGAACACAAAGTAATTTTTTTTCCAGTATCCACATTTTCCAGTCCACATTTAAAGATTCCAAATACTTTGAAACTTCAAAACTTTCTTAGGAGTTCATAGTTCAAGGGTAATATTTTCTATATTTGAACAAGTCTTCTGCACTCGCTTTGTTTTTTTCAGCAACTCTTCTCTTGAAGCATCTGCAAGAGATGACTGCTGGCAAAGTAAGCCAGAACTTTATACACCAAGTATAGGTTTACAAGCCTATTGGTTTAAAAATACTCTGCCCTATTTTTCAGTGTCTTCCTTAGAGTACTGCCAGAATGCTGACATTTATACCTTAGTTGGTACACTTCTGTAATGATAGTGATTTTTCTATTAGGACTGTAGTATCACTTGTGTGAGATTATCTTTGAATAAGAATAAATTCTGAAAAAAAAAAGAATAAATTCTGGTCAGATTGCCATTGAGGACTAGGAAGAATGAAATATTGTCACTTGAGATTTATGTAATATCTAGTAAGCTATTTAGGTTTGCTTCGTCCTAAAGTTGGCCTTTACTTATTATCAAATCAAATTTCTGATCACTCTTTGTTTAATTTGTATTTTGTTTAAATAAAATTAATGGAGATCATGAGAAAGATGATTAACTCTTTTACCTACTGACACTGGCTTTTTTTTTTTTTCCCCTTTCCTTTCCTACTGAACATGAATGAAAGCTCCCAAAAGAGCCATAGTTGAGGGTGGAGAGTGGAGAGGAACTGGGTCTGCTGGGCTACACCTAACCAAAGATTTTAGATTCTCAGATAGTAAAATGTATTCTTCACTGCTTGAATTGTTTCTTTTAGGTTTTTCAAATGTGTCAGACTATGTGATTTTTTTAAAAAAAAGCTTCACTGTACTTTTTTCACCTTCTCTTTCTTCTTTTTCAAGCTAATAAAATGGTTTTATTTAAATAGTGCCTTCTGAGAAATCTAGAAACCCTTTTCAGATATTAAACATTGAAGAAAAGCCATAAGCATTTCATAGTTTATATTTTGGATTCCGTAAATGAAGAAACAGACTTGCCAGGCAATTTCAATGACAATATTTTTCACATGTGAAAAAATGAAGGTATCCTACTATTTAAGTATTGTTTATCAACTCTAAGATGCCATCAATTATAAGATCATCAACCTACTAGCAGCCCGTCTGAGAGGGGTGGGAAACACTTTTTCAAGTAAGATATTTCCCAATTTTATGTACTTTAAGTGGAATAGGGAAAGGGTTTTAGAATTTGAGAATTTTTTTATATGTGCTACACGTTTTAATTATAAAGAACATTCATCTAATGTTCAACTTCTGTTACCAGAGTCTAAGAAAAAGTCAGTTTTTTCCTCTCAGCTAACTTACCCTGTTTAAATAGTGCTTTCATTATAAAATTTTGCTTACCTAGAATAAAGTGAAAGTAGAGTCATTTGAGGAACAAAAATAAATAATTTTCCTTAAGATTTATACTGCAAAAATGAAACTTAGTATAATAAGATGTCTTACCCAAAACCCTTAAATCATCATTCAGTTAAACACTATCACTTACCTATTTTGTGCCAGATACTATGCTAGATTCAAACACAAGTCAAATCTTAGTCACAGCATTTCACAAAATTAAAGATTTTCATATGAAAAAGTTGAAGAATAAATCTGACTTCTGTGGATTATGTTTCTCCTTACATTCTGTTTGTATATTTCCTCACTGATTCAGGATTAATAATGCATGATTTTCCCACAAACTTCATCCTTACATGTAGAGAAGATGTTGATAAAGTGCTCATGCAATAAAACATTTTTTTCCAAATATATACTTCACTTTAACTCTTTATTCAAATCTTATTAAACCATATAAGTTCTTATAGGAGAGCTGCAAGTTCTCCGTACAAAATTTTTAGCCCAAAACTTTGTGAGATAGAGTAAAATCTTTGCTGAGCTTCTTAGGAAAGAAAAAAGCTGCCTTCAGTAACTTAGTATTTCAGTCAAACCAAAAGTGTATTAATTAACATACAGGAAGAGCCTGAAATGTCCGTGTGTCACATGTACCTTTTTTCTCTCTCTTTTACTGTGACATCACCTGGGAAAATCCAGAAGATTGGATAATCAAGAAATGCTTAATCAAGATTCTGCTGTACAGGTGAAAATGGTGGGTATTTGACTATTTCCAGTTCCATTTATTAATGGTGACTCTGCACCACTTTTACCTCTGTCTTTAATCAGATAATTAATTAAGGGACTGTAACTTTACACAGATCTTTCTTCACAATGTTAGACACACAACAGAACTTCAAATACTTGTTGAATTGAATTTCCTTGGAATTTTTTTTGCTTGAAATATAATGTGCATTAAAATGTTTTTCAGCAGATAAAATGATTACCCCATTCCTTTTTTGTGCTAAATTTTCCTTGCTCAGTAACAGCACAGTTACATCATACAACATGAGATCTTTTATCTTAGGCCTCTGAATTAAAATGACAAGTATTTAACTAATTTTTAAAAACTTTTTGAACAGCAGTAGCTTTCATTGCATTATAGACATTAGGATGAGGTAGGGAAAATACAGGCTTTGACTTCAGAAGTGGCTTCAGATCTTAACTCAGTCCTTATTAGCAGTGACATCCTTGAATGAAGGCAACCATCTCACCTTTAAGAAATGCACATGAAACCTCCAGCCTCCTATTGTCCTTATTCATATCTTTTCCCAGCTTTATTAAGATGTAATTAACCAATAAAATTATAAGATATTTAAAGTGTCCAATGTGATTATTTGATATGAGTATACATTGTGAAAGTTTACCCCCTTTAGTTACTGTATCCATGACCTCACAAACATACCTTTTTTTTTTCGGAGAATATTTGAGATCTACCTTTGGAGTAAATTTCAATTTTATAATAATAATAATCACCAGGTTATACATTATATCCTTTGACCTTATTCATCTTATAATTGAAATGTACTCATACATATTTAATGAAAAAGTATCTATATAAAGTACTTAAAAGCACATGGTATGCACCCAGTGAATGTCAATCCTCCTACATTAGTGTTTTATGTAAGTAGGATTTATTTGTAAATGTGGGGGAAATTATGTCCATCCTTATTCAGTCACAAAATTTTAAAAATCACTATTTCTTTCTCTCTTTTAAAGAGGACAGCTGCCCCATTATCTCCTTCTTATTTTCTCTTTCTGTTCTTTTTGTTCTTCCTTTTCTCTATTTTTTCATGCTTTTTCTTTCTAATTTTCTTTTTTTGGTTTGAACCTATAAACCAGAACTTAGCATGCAAGCAGCTTTGTGTCACCATTAGTAAATCTCTTGTTTCATTTAACTTTCCTCATCCAATGTGTGATGGGAGGTTAAAATTTACTCAGAGTGCTGATTAAGCTTGTCAGCAGTGTACTTAGAGCTCTTAGGATGAAGCATATGAAATTGATGATTCTTTAATACATGAAATAACAGTCCAATGTTGGCAGTTTTATATGGTTCAGTCTAATACTTGAACATGACCTTTGCATCCATTGCATGATTGGCATTTGATTTATTGATACTGAGCATAAATATCTCTGAGTTAAGTCAGTCTAAACTCATTTTCTTGCTTGAGTTGATTTTGTTTTTTTCCAAAAATGAATACAAGTGATATAAAAAATCCTACCGTATAATTTGTTGTTGCCAGGGTCCTAGAACCTTCTACCATGTGTCTCCTTTAGAAGCAAGTTGCAGTGTAGTTGGGGCTTCCCTGATACCTTCCCTGATACCAGCTCAGCTGGTAAAGAATCCACCTGCAATGCAGAAGACCCCAGTTCGATTCCTGGGTCAGGAAGATCCCCTGGAGGAGGGCATGGTAACCCACTCCAGTATTCTTGCCTGCGAATCCCCATGGACAGAGGAGCCTGGCGGGCTACGGCCCACGGGGTTGCAGAGTGGAGCGCAAGTGAGAGGCTAGGCACAGCACAGCATAGCCCAGCAGTGCCGTTAACTTACAAAGCACTGTGGGAGGAAAACAAGCCTTTTGAGATGATACATGTTTAAATAATTTTTATTACAGTCTGAATTTGTATACTTTTTACCTTTGGTGTGCTCTTCTAAAAAACTGATAACCTCTTTTTAAGTTGCCAGCTGTACCCTCAAGTTCTAGAAAAACAGAGCAATTTGTCCTTTTCCCACATTAAACCCTGTACTTTGACTCCTCCCGTCTCAGCACACCCAAGTCCTGCTTCTCTCCAGAAGCCCAGCTCCATGGGTCTCCCTCCTTTGACCCCAGCAGAAGTAATCTTAGTTTCTCCTGTTTCTCTTGTATTATATACGGACATCTTGACAATGTTTTTATTATTTGGATTACTTGTATTACCGTCCATGGTAGAGAAGATGCATTTGAGTATAAGATGTATATCTCACTCAAACTCCTGTATCTCTTACAGGGCTGCTTAAGAGTGCCTTACACGTAATGACTATATGGTAAATGAAGGGAAGAATCTCGCCTACACTACTTTAATGTGGAGACAGGCCAGATATGTGGTAGGCAGGAGAGATGGCTATCAGTCAAATTTAGCAGTGCTTAATCTTCAAAATAAAGCAAGAATCATCTAGGTGTGTCAATGAAAAAAATGTACCAGTCTGCATAGGTGGCTTTAAAAATCTATACTTTTTATGTCGTCACACAAAAATTGTACTGCCCACTCCTTTGTACCCGTAATAAAGACTTCTGTTTGTACTATATTTGACCATTGGAAAACAAAAGAAAAATATTTCCACTGAGAGCTTCAGACAGAGGTTCTTAAGTAATTGAAACTTATTGTTATGTGAGCTATGTTTAGAAATACACAGGTAGACATCATTAGGACAGTTCTGTGACTACCAGGCAGTATATTGTCTCAGTATACCCACAAGATAATATCAAATAATCTAATCAAATAGTCACATTATTTGCTCACAAGTACTGTAAACAAAACTGTATAACTTTGAAATCAATTTCTTTAGAAATCATGCCTTCTGAATGTGGAAGTAGACTAGTAATTAGGAGGTCATTTCATCTGTACAAGTACAGTATATTTAAGATTAGCCAGAATAAGTATATTTTAGGTTTTCCTTAGTTATCTTTAGCATTGATTCAGCTTAGGCTCTCGTCAGCCAGAATACCCTGATTCTTGTCAGGAAAGCTTTGCTCCTTCTCCAGCATTTTACATTATGACCTTATAAAATGAATTTGTTTTCTTTTGGTCATAAATGATGGAAATTTTTAGTCCCTTATTATTTTTCATAGCATTGTATTATAATCAAACTGGGATGTTTTCAAACAATTTAAAATAACTTGCCCTTCAAATTTCAAGTATCATTATTTTATGTACCACCAAACAGGTGGGTGTATTGTGTCCAAGAGGACTGTGAGGGAGGGATTTGAGGGCTAACAGAAGTATGTGACGTGTGATGAAGTGCATACTCCTGTAGTCTGCTTCATAATGTTCTGATACTCTGACATTCACTGATATATTTCATACAGTAAATTCTATTTCTTAGGCTGTATTCTAAAATATTTGAGTAAAATGTCTAGATGTCTAATGTCTCAAGTTTTTGAGAAGTATTCATCATATACTTCAGTAATATATGTGTACTGTGAAAAGGGGAGATATGGTATTTTACTGTATAATCCAAGGCAAATATAATTTTTATATTTCTTACACCTGTGTCCTCAGCCCTCTTGTGTTCTCTGGGAACAGTAGCTGCCCTTTCATCTGTCTTTATCACTCTTATTTCACTGTGGTACTGTTTGGGTGTTCACTACTACTGAAAATGAATGGTTATATGTTGTGCAGAAGCAGGAATATGAACGCCTCTAGCCACTGGTTCTCTTTATTTTCACTGTAAAATAAACCAATCTAATAGTTGATAGCCTAGCAGAAACCAGCCTAATTAGAAGTTTAAATATGGCTTTTTAAAATCAAATGTATTGTAGGATGTGATTTGCTTGAGGCAGGACATCTTCCTTAGCATGGACATACTAAAACAAAATGTCTCATTTTTTTGGGTGAAAATAGAGTAAGTGACATATACCCTCTGTTGCTTTCAGTAATGGGTTAGTTATTGAATAAAGCATATGCTGTTTATTATGCATCTGCCAGTTAAGGCAGATGTAAGAGCAGAATTTGATTAGGGGATCAATTTACTTGCTAAGGTATTTGTAAGGGAGCATCAGAAGTGACAGCAGTAATTCCTAAAATTCAACAGGAAAACAGTATGAGCATCGTATCCCTAGCTTCTTATGTCTGACAAAGTAGACACATGGTAAGTATTTATAAAACAAATCAGTGGGTGTTAGTGAATGAAAAAAAAGGAATATAGGAGCAAGTGCCTATTGATTTTTCTCATCTGTTTAAAAAATCACAATAAAATAAATAGTGATTTATTTCAGTTCAGCTCAGTCGTGTCCAACTCTTTGCAGCCTCATGAACTGCAGCACACCAGGCTTCCCTGTCCATCACCAGCTCCCGGAGCTTGCTCAGACTCATGTCCATCGAGTCGGTGATGCCATCTAACCATTTCATCCTCTGTTGTCTCCTCCTCCTCCTGACTTCAGTCTTTCCCAGCATCAGGGTCTTTTCCAANACCAGCTCCCGGAGCTTGCTCAGACTCATGTCCATCGAGTCGGTGATGCCATCTAACCATTTCATCCTCTGTTGTCTCCTCCTCCTCCTGACTTCAGTCTTTCCCAGCATCAGGGTCTTTTCCAATGAGTTAGTTCTTCGCATCAGGTGGCCAAAATTTTGGAGTTTCAGTTTCAGCATCAGTCCTTCCAATGAATATTCAGGACAGATTTCCTTTAGGATTGACTGGTTTGATCTCCTTGTGTTTATTTAGATGATTTAAATAACCTTTTTTCTTTTGAAACACCTTAAAGCCCATTTAAGTTAAAAGGATCACTGTATGAAGGTTAATTGTATTGCAGGTTATCCCCCTACCCTATTTAAAAAATATGGCTTTTTGAAATTAAGTGTATTATAAATTCAGGTCTTTCATTCATGGAGAAAAATTTAATGTTCCTACTTCTGTTTCCTGTCCACTTCTGTATTCATCCTCCAATCTCAGGAAGACATGTTAACTTTTTTCTGATTATCTGATTTTGTCCATTATATAGGGACAGCATGGGACCTGACAGATTTACCTGGTCAGATTCTCTTATAGCAGAGATACAAGGCCTGGGGAATTTTTCATAACTGTGTCCATAACACACATGAAATATGTTAATATTGAAGATAACACACATATAATAATAGAATATAAAATAAAGTTTACTGGATACAAGCCACTGTAGAATCTTAATTTGAGGTTCAGTTATTGTCTTTTTTTACTTGGAGCTGACTATTAAATGATTCATAGTTTCCTTCCCCCAGTCCTCTTTGTGCTATAAGAGTACCATGCTGGTGCTAATTTTACTCTGATCAGTTTCATTCTCTCTGTGATATGGTAGAAAAAATAAGCTATTTACATAACGTTAAACTGTTGAGCAAAACTAAAGCCTGCATAAACCAGCCTAAGTAGCAGCCTCAGCCCAGGTGGCCTGATATTTAGTAGTAATCTTAATTTGGAATAAATCCATTGTAAAATTTATGTCAAGATTAATGAAGTTTTGGGGGGTATAGTACAATAAAGGAGTAAAGATCTTAAAGTAGCCTTTCAAATTAAATACATTGATATTAATTTCAGAAAGCCAGATGCAAAAGTATATAAAGTGAATGAGATAAACTATGTGCATATACATGCATGTTGCAGTCATAGAATTGAAAATAATGAAAAACATTAAAACACTTGTTTAGCTTTGGGCAGTAGGATTACAGGCAATTTTTCTTTTTTATACTTCTGTTTTTTTCTGTTGTGAACATGCATGACTTTTATAATTAGAAAAATTGCATTTTATGATAATGTATTTAAAATGTAGTTTTGTCTTAATCTTCTAGATGGAAATAACTGATGTGCTTTAAAATTTTTTGGCTATATAAATGGCAATTTGTTATGGTGGTTTGCTTTTTTTAAAATAATGCCTCGACATTTTTACATCTTTAAATAATATAAGCTTTTTATATTACTCTGCTTGGTATCAAAGAAACCTGGGGAAAAAGAAATTTAAAATAGTTAATTCATTTCTTTGATTCTTAGATGCCAGAAATCCAGAAAAGTTCAGTTCACATCAAGAACCCATCAAGAGTAGAAGAAATTATCTGTGGTCTTATCAAAGGAGGAGCTGCTAAACTTCAGGTGAATCATTATCAAGAAGCCTTTAGCATTAAATCTCTATTTTTCATGTTCAAGCAGACTCATTCATTTTATGTCTTGCTACAATCTGAATAAAGAAAGCTTAGATAGACAAGCTTTGCCTGTCCTTTTGGAATGTAAAATCTAAGAGATGTATCTGGAATTGGTCTAAAATATGCAGAATACCCCACTGGAAACAAACAAAAGTTAATAACCTTGAAATAATTTTAGCTTTTCTTTAATATTAAGTGCTCAGCTAACTAGTGCTATGCATTAAGTATTAAACCATCTTAAGTAAATTGATTAACAATATGATTAATAATCTTTAAATTGTGGACAGTTTCAAGGTGTTCTTTTAATATAATAAATCATAGTAGTCAAAGTAATGTGTAACTATTAGGAGATAGCTAATTTTTCCAATTCTTTTTTTAAAGGAATGTTTTACATGTAAGTTAAATAATCTGGATAGTCACTAAAAACTTATTCCCTTTTTTAAACATTTCTGAAAAAAATATTTAGCCCAGTCTCCTAAGTTTCAAGAGCTGGTAAACTATTGCTGTGTATCATTCATTCATTCATTGTTTAGTTTATTTAAATAGACAAATCAAGAATGTACAGTTTCAATAACTAAAAGCATGGCATAGTTTATTTCCACTGCATTTTTGTACATTGACCAAGTAGGTTGAAATTGTGCAATGTTTTATTGCTATCAGAAATAGTAACCATATTACCTGCAGTTTCAAATTCCTAAACTGATTAGTCAGATTTTATTTGGTGACTGTGCTGGGGTACTTAAGGTTCACCCTGTAGTTAAGGAAATTCTCAAGACTTGACATATGAACTACTTTAGAAAACTCAGTGGAGACAGAATAACCTCCAGTGGAGGGCTGGGACAGGACACTCTAGAGGAGTCTCATTCCTCTAGAAAATGTGCATTAAGTATCTGGCCTTGGTAGCTGTGATTTCATAATGCCTTTTCCCCTTTTCTTATAGATAATAACAGACTTTGATATGACACTGAGTCGATTTTCCTACAAAGGAAAAAGATGCCCATCATGTCATAGTAAGTGTGGCATTCATAAATAGATTCACAAAAATAATCATTAAGTTCCTTTTTTAACCTATGTTATATGAGATTGCTTGTGTTTTTTTCTTCTTTGTGGACATTGAAAGTGAGACGGGGCTTCTTTTTTATTATATTTTGAGGATTTGTTTTCCCCATGTTACATAAATGGCTATTTTCCTGTACGGTTTTGGTTGCAAGAAGAATGAAGACTTCTGAAATTTTCTCTCCAAATGTTTTGTCTGTTGATTCAGAAAATATTTAAATGAATTTAAACTTTGAAGTAGCCTAAAGAAATATATTTATCAAATACTTTGTGTTTTCTAGGAATATTACTAAATTTTTGTGTCATTGATAAGTAAAAGAGTGAGTTACTAAATAAATAGCAACTTAAAATGTGTTGCTGGAATAATACACCTTTTTTGTTTTCCAAACTTGGCAGTGAATTTTTAAAATAATACTCCTCAACCTGACAACCAGGGATATTAGCCCTCTCTTTACTGTTGGGACATGTGTAATTTGAGAAATCATTGATAAATTTATTTTAAAAACCACTAAAAATTACACCCTTTGGCCCAATAACTTTTCTCTGGAAAATTTCTAATTTAGTAATCCCAAATGTTGGGAAAAAGCTTCAGATCTAAGGTTTAGATTTTAAGATCATTAGATTTTCTAGGAATGCCATGTGGATTATAACACTTAAGACCAGAAGTTGTAATGATCATGCTTCTTGACCTGGCATTTAAGTTAACCATAGTAAGTTATTTATATTACTGGTAGCATCAATCAGAGTATTTCTTTTCTTTTTTTATCATTTAATTAAAGTACAGTTGATTTACAGTGTTATGTTAATTTCTTCTCCACAGCAAAGTACTCAGTTATACACATGTATATATTCTTTTTAGTATTATTTTCCATTGTGGTTTATCCCTGGATATTGCATATAGTTCAGAGTATTTTTTTAATGCCTAGTTTGCTTTCTTTCTTTAGATGTCATTGACAACTGTAAGCTAATCACAGATGAATGTCGAGAAAAGGTAAAGACTAACTATAATCCATGGTTACTCAAAGACATCATTACCCTTTTTGCTGAGAATTTTTTCAGGTTCATTCACACAAACAAGAATAGATGCAAAAGTTCTTATAGCCATATCTGGCACAGAATAAACACTCAATAGATCTTAGGCTTATTGTATGGATTATGTACTCCCAACTTATTTTAACAAAAAAAGTTAATAATGACTTTTTAATAATAAAACTTTCATGAGAAACTTTTAAATTGATTACCAAAATAGTCTCATGTCCTTACATTAACTGGGGAATTAAAACAAAAATATTGTGATGGACATTCCCTGGTGGTCCAATGATTAGGATTCTGTGCTTCCAATGGAAGGGTCACAGGTTTAGTCCCTGGTTGGGGAACTAAGATCCACAAGCCTTGCAAACAAAAACAGAAAAAAGTACTGTGGTTTTATGTATTTTGTTCCCTTAAATTGATAGGAAACTGCCTCAGTTCTCTGTTTTACTTGAGTAGGTATCTACCTATGTCTATTTTAACAAAAAAGACTCCAAATATGAATCAAATTTAATACCTTCATAGGAGAACAAAAGATTTTTTTGTAGTGATAATTTGATTATTGGTTTCACTGAATTACTGACCTGAAAGTACTTAAAAAAAGAAAGGTAACTTCTTGTAGATATATTTAGTTACATATAAACTAAGATCAACAGAGATCACTTCAATGGATATATGCATTGGCTAGGCATGATCTTCACCATATAAAGCCGTGTGAGGAAAAGACTTGTTTACATTATTTTGTTTTCTCTTAGACTGAGCAGCTTAATGACAACTCTGTAATCTTAATGATTAAATTATTCACTTATTTCTAGTTACTACAACTAAAGGAAAAATACTATGCTATTGAAGTTGATCCTGTTCTTACTATAGAAGAGAAGTACCCCTATATAGTAGAATGGTAAGTGTGCATTGGGTGATGGGAGGGTTAAAAATATAAAATAACATTACAGTTACAACTAATGGTTTATTTTTCCTCTGTACTGTACATAAATAGATTCATAAATTAGCCAGTGCGTTAGAGCAGTGATTAAATATGACAGCATGAACTCTGATTCTCTAATCACTGCAGCAATCTAGAATTTGTTTTGTTAAGATGAAGATCAGTGGGAATAAATTTAAAATCATACCCTCAAGCCTTAAATTAAAAACATTTTTTTTTAAGTGTATGTGGCTGAATATGCAAAGAAAAAGAATTAGGGTTTAAGTTAACTCTGAACTCAGTTGGAGCCAGCAGGTGACATAGTTACTGAGAAGTGTACCTCTGATGTTGGTCGTATTAATTGAAATTGCAGCATTCCAAGCAAATCACAGCGAAAGCATTGTGTTCAGTCCGGAGAGAATGCTATTAAAAGAAATGTTGACAAACTTAGTCTGTGTCATAGGAGTCCACTAAGATAATCAGAGGAATTAAAGCCATCCCATTTGAGGAAGATTTCAAGGAATAGAGATGATGCTTTGATTTGAGAGGCAACAACTTATGGTTTTGGAGTTTTAAGAGAACAGGAATGATGTTACTGGTCTTCATAATCCCATTACCTAACCTTGCACACTTAATCAGTATCTATGGTATGAAGCACTGAAAAGAGATTATTTACTTTACTTGCCTGTGCACAAAAAGAACTGAATCTAGACTTGGAAGGCTTATACCAACTTATTTCAACATGATGAAAGAAAGGACTGTTCAGCAATTAGACTTTTCTAGCAATGGTATAAGCTTATACCATTGGGAGAACGAGCTCACTAAAAAGATGGGAGCTGATGCAGAGAAGAGGGTCACCTGGGAATATTATAGCTGGATTTTTAGATATCAGCTAGAGAGGTTCTGAAGGTTTATTATACTGAGATGCTGTGATTATAGGTGGTTTTATGTAATTACAGAGCACCTATATATAAAACTTTCCATAGCAAGAATTTTCTCTTTCTCACTAGGCAATTTAGGCTACTCATGAAAATTTAGATCACAAACAGGTGGGAAAAAATGGCTTTGCTGTTCATTCTTACTGCCATCAGAGAAGTGATTATGCCTCCCTAGCTTCAATTCAGTTCTTCTCTGTAGACTAAAGAAAGATTTACAACTAGTATCCTTTCATTATCTAATTAACATATTAAAACTAAGCCAGAGTTTGAGAACTGGGAAATATGATAAGAACATGCATATTACATTTTGAGCCACATGGGGTATACATTCATTAGTGATGAACTTAAATCTCTAAAATTTAAATTTAAAATTACAATGAATGACGTACTTTTTTTCTCATGCAGAAGAACATTTTTAATAAAGTTAGTAGTCTTCAGTTCAGTTCAGTCACTCAGTCATGTCTGACTCTTTGCAACCCCATGAACTGCAGCACGCCAGGCCTCCCTGTCCATCAGCAACTCCCGGAGTTTACCCAAACTCTTGTCCATTGAGTCAGAGATGCCATCCAACCATCTTATTGATGGGACCAGATGCCATGATCTTAGTTTTCTGAATGTTGAGCTTTAAGCCAACTTTTTCACTCTCCTCTTTCACTTTGATCAAGAGGCTCTTTAGTTCTTCACTTTCTGCCATAAGGGTGGTATCATCTGCATATCTGTGGTTATTGATATTTCTCCTGGCAGTCTTGATTCCAGCTTGTGCTTCTTCCAGCCCAGTATTTCTCATTATGTACTCTGCATATAAGTTAAATAAGCAAGGTGACAATATACAGCCTTGACATTCTCCTTTTCCTATTTGGAACCAGTCTGTTGTTCCATGTCCAGTTCTAACTGTTCCTTCCTGACCTGCATATAGGTTTCTCAAAAGGCAGGTCAGGTGGTCTGGTATTCCCATCTCTTTCAGAATTTTCCAGTTTATTGTGATCCACAGTCAAAGGCTTTGGCATAGTCAATAAAGCAGAAATAGATGTTTTTCTGGAACTCTCTTGCTTTTTCGATGATCCAATAATAGTCTTAATTTGCCTTAATTGATATTCTCCTTTTCTTTGATAATTTGACATTCTCTTTATAATTTCCAGGTATACTAAATCACATAGCTTGCTTGTTGAACAGGCTTTACCGAAAGCCAAACTTAAAGAAATTGTGGAAGAATCTGACATTATGCTCAAGTAAGTTTCTCAGATGTTTTGTTGTTAATTATCTACAGACTTGAACTATTGTCATATATTTATTCACGTGTGTTTTTTAATTAAGATAATCTATAACAAAATGTTATATATAAAAACATATCCAAAATATGCCACTTGGTGAGAAAAGGAATTTAGAATAACAGATAATTTAAAGACTAACTTAAAAATTTATGAAACCAAGACCATTTTGAAATATTTTCGCAAAATACTTTTGAAAGACATGATTATGAAAGGAAAGTTTATAAATCAACTTGAAAAGGATTTTAAGCTTATAATTGTTTCTGTTACATGATCTATTTTCTGAATTCTCAAACTCCCTTGAAAACTACTATTTTCAGGAAGTGTAAATATGTTTTAGCAGATAATAAAAACATTTGTAATCATGAATTATATAAATAGTTTTAAGCTAATTTCAGTACTCTTTACCACCTCTTAAATGTTTCAACTCAATAGGCAAATATGATGATGCTGTATTTTTCTTTTTTTGATGATGCTACATTTTAAGGTGATCTGCTTCCAAGGAGGAAAGCATTAAATTGTCAGAAAGAGTGTGAGGACAGCTAGTAAGTATTCCTTTGTAGGCAACTTAATCTATAGTCCATTAAGAGTGAAATGAGTTTTGATTTTAGGATCAAGACATTACCTGTAGCTGCCAGATCTTAGGTAAGAGAGATGCCAGATGTAAAGAGAATACAGCTGAGTTCCTGCCACTCTGCTTTTCCTATAATAGGGAATAGATGAACAAGATGACAAGCAGGAGGTCTTCTAGCTCACCGTTTGTGGGTTTTTCAAGGTGTGGTTCATCTACTTGCTGTTAAATGGTATACATAGTGAACTGTAGATTTATGTCCATATTCCAAGTAAGTCTAAAATCATCTAATATGTACTTAGAATTTATTGAAAGTATGATAAAAGTTAACCAGACTGAAAAACTTGTATTAGTATCATCATAGACATCAATAACAGCCCTCTTGGGTAGTATTTTGAAATGAGAATATAAATAAGCCATAGAACCAAGTAGAACTATTTCACTTTTTTAACATCTAGGTGAAAAGGAGATATATCTTGCTCTTTAACACTCAATTCTCACCTCCATCTTACAGGGAAGGATATGAGAATTTCTTTGATAAGCTGCAACAATACGGTATTCCTGTGTTCATATTTTCGGCTGGTATCGGTGATGTGCTGGAGGAGGTTATCCGTCAAGCTGGTGTATATTACCCAAATGTCAAAGTAGTGTCCAACTTCATGGATTTTGATGACAATGTAAGAATATCAAATCATTCTTCATAATTTTAATATCAGAAAATATTTTAATCATATAAATACATTTTAATTTACTCTTTAGTGTATTATATATTCGTTAAATTAGGCCAAGTTGGTGGGCCTTCTATGGGACTTATCTCTCCATGGGTATGTCTGTGTCCATGTTTTAAAAGTAATATACCCTTTTTAAACTTTGTTCCTGAAGCTGCAATCTAATAAGTAGTAAAACTTCTTTAAATTTAATGCAGCAATTCTGAACATTTAAGTATCTATAGATAAGTGAATTAGAAGTGATGTTATTGAATGAGTTCTAAGAAAGACAATATATTATGATAAACCTATAATGAAACCGTTTGGGTAGGAAACAAATGAAAAGTAAAAACTGGGTTTTCGGCACATTGTGTTTAACATTTAAAGTGGTCCCTAGAAAGTCATTAACTTCTCAGAGCCCTTCTTACCTATCATGAATGTGAAAATACAAAAAGTAGAACTTGTAGAACCTATTCTTTCAAAGGATTTATATTTTAAACAGGGGCTGCTCAAAGGATTTAAAGGAGAATTAATTCATGTGTTTAACAAACATGATGGTTCCTTGAAGAATACAGAATATTTCAATCAACTGAAAAACAATAGCAACATAATTCTCCTGGGAGATTCCCAAGGGGACTTAAAAATGGCAGATGGAGTAGCCAATGTGGAACACATCCTGAAAATTGGGTATCTAAATGATAGAGTAAGTATACAGATCTGTCGTTTAATTTTAAGAAAAAAAAAATAGGATGAAACTTGTAGAAAATTGTTACCACAGGTACCTGAGAAAGTAGTTATTTTAAAGACATGTCAGTTGCTCTTTATCCTTTCACTTTGATGATGATTAAAGGACTTGCCATGCACATATGCATGCTGTAGGTTTTGGTGGGGAGGGAGAGTATACCTTCTCAGTGAGGCATCTTTGGCCTTTCCCCACTGGAAGCTGGTATCATTCCCTAATCAGAAGAATCAAAAATGTCTCTAGATATTGCCAAATATTCCTTGGGCACTCTCTCCCTAGTTGAGAACTATTGGGCTAGAGAGAAATCCTTTTGGAAGAAAAACCACTATATGGAAACTTTCTGTGTCAATGAATTTTAAAAATTTTTTAAGTATTTCTTCATATCAAAGCTTTTACGAAAACAAGTTACTACATTTTACCCAAAAGATTTGATGTAATAGTGAGATTTATACTGAGATTATTTACTTCTCCTCCCTGCATATTAATTTTTGTGATTTTTTTTTTTTATTATTGATTAGGTGGATGAGCTTTTAGAAAAGTACATGGACTCTTATGATATTGTTCTAGTAAAAGATGAGTCACTGGATGTAGCCAATTCTATCTTACAGAAGATTCTATAAACAGCCATTCTTCAAGAAGACCTCTCACCTATGGGTGCAATTGATGAAAGAGCTGCTCATCTGTTCATCTGGCTAAAAGACTTTTTTTATTTATAATATATTCTTGCTCTTGAAGTTTTTCCTCTGTATTACTCAAGTATTTTCAGATTTGTTGAATCCATCAACTGGAAGTTCCTATTTCTCCACCTCAACACACTCCTCACTATATATTTTTTAACAAATTTTTAAAAATTCTTAGAGCTAAAATTGGAAAAATAACCCCCTACATTTCGAGAGTGACTTTTGTAGCTTAATGTTATTATGACATTTTCAAGGAATCTTTTTACATTGGGAAAGTTTATAGAAGATTTAAAAGTTTTATGAAATGATGAAATAATGTGCATGATTTTAAGTGTTGTCATTTTTATAATTTGGGTGAATTATGCTGATGGTATTAATCATCTCTTAAAACTTACATTTAGTTCTTTTGTTTGGTGAAAATCAGTATTTACCAAAAAATATTGGCACTTGATGTTTGAAAAATATCCATTGGTATCAACATGTCACTAATCATTACAGAATGTTCTGTATCAAAGCACTGATGATAAACATGAAATGAAAAGCCTTTGTAATTCTGGCAAGACTATTATTATTCATTCGCAAAGCCTGCCATGATTTTCTTGCATGTATGTGTGATGTATGAATCCCAATGTCTTTGTCATAGTGCCTACTTAGGTTATTTTCAGATTTATACACTATAGGAATAAAAAAGATTTTTCCAGAGAAAATTTAATTTGCCCTTCAGAAAATAGTAGGGCCTGGGAAAATTGTTTTCCTCCTGTGAAAATATTAGTAAAAGAGGTACTTTATTGTACATCTAAGCGTTTCAGAAACAGCCATAGGCAGAAGACAAAATGTTGCTGGGTCTCATGGTGACTAAAATAGAGTACTTCAGCATTAGGAACCAGTATGCCTCTCTGCAGCCTGACTTCCCATTCCAAATTTTGGCGGCCCTATAATTGGTTTACACAAGGCTAAGTCTTGCCATTGTGATAAATTTGATCCTGACTCTAGCCCTTGAACTGCAGTCTGTGAGCAACTAGTTGGTGTTCTTAGCATCTGAGCCATGATACAGACAAAGCATGTCCAGCTAGTTCTGATATCCAGTATGGGCAGTAATGTCTAGTGCAGTCATATGTGGTAGAGAGGCAAGGTCTTGTGATGCAAACCTTTTTCCTGCATCCCATCTGTACTCTCCATCACTGCTTCTCTGTTTTTTATAATAAACAAAGCACACAGTGGCAGAAAGTAGACTGTCCCCACTTAGGTATTTCCAGAATGGAACTCAAAACCAAGCTTCTTGCTTTAAAGCAGATAGCACGGCATGTGCGTGCATGCTAAGTCTCTTCAATCTTGTCCTACTCTGTGACTCCATGGACCGTAGCCCACCAGGCTCCTTTGTCCATGAGATTCTCCAGGCAAGAATACTGGAGTGGGTTACCATGCCCTCCTCCAGGGGATCTTCCCCGCCCAGGGATCTAATCCCAGTCTCTTGTGTCTCCTGCATTGGCAGGCAGGTTCTTTACCATTAGCGCCACCTGGGAAGCCCGTGGCATGGAGGCAGGATGGGGTGTCAGTTACCTGGAGGACTTTTCCACACAGAAAAAATTGGGACTCCCTTATCAAATGATAGCTCTTTACTCCTGTGTTTGCTATTAGAGCTTGCCATATTGGCTATTTTCCAAAGGAGTTTATAATGTGCGTCCACACACAAGCACAATGTGTGGTGTAAGTGTAAAGAATACTAACGTGCTGACCTGCTTTCTCGTCACTGCTCAGTCAGTCACCTCCCTTTAAAATAAAAGCCATGAGAACAGTCTCTACGGCCTCTTCGGGCCACTGCCAGTTTAGACATGTCGAGACTTGCTGTGGGATTAAATGTGTAACACTATTTTAATAATATCCACAAATAGGAGTAAATAATTGCAAGTAGTAGTCTTATTTTATAAAAAGACTTCAGATCTCCAAGAGATCCAAGGGAAGAAGGCTTCAAAGAAAGCCACTCTGTTCCTAGAAACCTGGTATTAAAGTGCTTACATATAATTTTGCAGTCAGGCCAGCTTCCCTGACAAAATGACATATGTTCCCTTAGCAACGGAAAGAATGGAAGTGCCAGGCGGCACTCAATAAGCTAGATTTAGAAAGCTAAATACTGCATGGTATCATTTATATATGTAGATACAAAAAAAAAAAAAAAAAGTTGAAGCCAGAGGGGAAAAAAAGGTGATTACCAGGGCCTAGGGGGTGGGGGAAATAAAAGGATACAAACTTTCATCTGTACGATAAATAAGGTCTGTGAATCCAATGTATATCATGGTGACTACAGTTGATAGCACTATCATATAGTTGAAATTTGGTAACAGTAGAAGTTAAATGTTCTCTAAAAAAAAATGTGATGTACATGTTAATTTAAGTTGATGGGAATCCTTTCACAATGTATATTTATGTCAAATCATCACACACCCTTGAAATGTTTTAAACAGTTTTTTAAATTACACCTCAATAAAGCTAAAAAGCAAAAGCCAATAAGACAAAGACCCAAGAAGAGCCAGCATTTCAGTCTGAATCTAAAGGCCAGAAAAGACCAGTGTTTCAGGTCAGCAGTCAGGCAGGCAGCTTAAATACAAAAACAAATACCAGCTAAAGTTTCCTTCCATTCTTGAAGCTCTAAGGCTCACAGTCCTTAACTTCCCCAGAGAAACTTATTTTTTATTCAGCCAACCTGCCACTGTAGAAAATAGCCAGTGAAGAAATTCAAACAGGACCAGCTAGAGATCTAGGGTGGAGAAGAAGCACAAGATACTCATCTCCATGAACATATGTGAGTATAAAGACGTCACAAACCAAATGCATTCCAAAGGGCAATTCAGTTCAACAGATCATTAACCTATCTAGTGCATTCGAGGAATTCTGCTAAATGAAAAAGCTGCGTGACTGTCTGCTCCACAGAATAGGGTTACAGAACATTAGTGATAATGGCAGCGGCAGCCGGGAAGGCCATGGGCACCTCCTTCCCCTCCCAGAAGCATACAGAATCTCAAGTTGCTTCTGCAAAGAGTAAACCGGGACTTCCCTGGTGGTCCAGTAGTTGCAAGTCTACCGTGCAATGCAGGGGACGCAGGTTTGATCCCTAGCCGGGGAACTAAGATCCCACATGCCACAGAGCAACTGAATTGTGTGCCGTAACTAGAGAGGCCACAGGCTGCCACTAAGACCTGATGCAGCCAAATATTTTTTTAAAAAAGAGTAAAGCAGAACATTTGCTCTTTAAAAACTATGTAGTTTTTCTCTTTAAATAAACCAGTTATTTTTCCACTCCAACCCCAACCCTTAACCCATTCTACACCTTCCCCTGCACTCCAAAACACTGATCTCTGAGAACACCAGCCCCTGAGACCCTTGCACTCTGGCTTCAAATTGGCTTCAGCTGATGGGAGCAGGACAGAGAAAATGAGTGTTTCCTCTCTCACCACTCTGCTTGCTGCCAGCCACAGTTCTGGGGGTGGCTGTGTCCCTCCACCCACTCCTACCAGGCAGCCCCGCCAAGGCTCCCCCTGACCCTTCAGTCCCAGCGTTAGAACAGCTTCCTACTGTTGACACCCAATGGTGGTCATGGGTACCTCAGCATGCTTACTGCACCACCCTGCCCCAGCCCCACCACACTCGTGTAGAGAGTCCTTTCATTCACTTCTCTTCAGAAGTCCCACTTCAGTGTATGTTTCCAGCCTAGACTCTGACAGATACACCCACTTTCTACTGTACAGCGATCTTCCACTTCTTTCAACTCAGTCCTGCTGAGTTTTTAACCAAGGGGATTCTGAGGGTGTGGCATATTCTCATGGGGGAAAATGAGCCTTCAAATAAAACACAAAACCTGATAATTCAATATTTTATATATGAAAAATTCATTTTCCAACATTTGTTCCACTGAATGAGTGCACAGCATTTTCAGGAACTATTTCAGGGCTACATCAGTACAAAATAGTTTAAATTAGGCACACAAAGTCACTTCAAAAGGAAAATCATTAGTTACTTCAGGGTGAGTGCCACCACCACGAGGGGACAGAGGACATAGGCAGCAAGGTGGTCACTGCATAACATGAGGACAGGTCAGCAGGCACAGTGTCCTACGCAGAGAGAGGCCCCCAGGCCTTAGGGCACTTCCCTCTCCAGGACACAGGGGTGACAGAAATACATCACTTTGTTTATGCTCACCTGTTGGGATGACATTTCTGTCTTGACTACAGTGAGATAACTCGAGTGTGGCCGAGCCATCAACCCTACTTGTATCTATCTGATCAAAGGATTCAGGGCGGGAAGAGAGGGTGCTATGGGTTAGAGTGATGGGAATAAGAAAGAGTAAAGCAGACAATCTTACATGACAAATGCAGAATCAAATTCTCTACTCATGAGACAACATGCCTTATGTTTGGTCTACTGATTTTCTTTTTAACCTCCAAGTTACCTGGCCAATAGAAGGACCACAACAAGGTGGGATATGATTAACCAGAAAAGTGTGTGTATATGTGTAGGCATGATGGGAGACTGGGCATTACCAGGTGTGTGTGTGTGTGTGTGTGTGTGTGTGTGTAGGCATGGTGGAGGCTGGGCATTACCACATCTTGTACAGGCTGCTAAGAAGTTTGTGTGTGTGTGTGTGTGTGTGTGTGTGTGTGTGTGTGTGTGTNGAGATCCTTGCACCCTCAGTGCACATTCTGCCACAACAGGAGGCTTGGTATCACACAAGTGGCTCGTGTCAGGTTTAGAGTTCATCATGTTTCGTCTCCTGGTCTTTGAGTTTAAATTCCTCAGCTGTGACCTTCCCATCTCCATTTCGGTCCTGGTTGGTGAACATATTCTTCACGATCATCTCAGCATCAAATCCAGGAGCGAGTTTCCCTTTTCCAGATGCCACCTGGGCATGAATGTACTCCGAGAACTGGAAAGAAGGGGGCAGTACAGACCATGAGACAGGGTAGCCACACACCAAGGTGGAGCCTGAACAGGGCGGTCCTGGGACAATGGGCTTGGAATTTGAGTCTGAGCCAGCAAAACAGACAAAATCTTCTGAGCTATACGATCTAGATTTTTTCCCTCTAGCACGCATGCTCAGTCGCTTCTGTCGTGTCCAACTCTGCAACCCCATGGACCGTAGCCCACCAGGCTCCTCTGTCCATGGGATTCTCTAGGCAAGAATACTGGAGTGTGGGTTGCCATGCCCTCCTCCAGGGAATCTTCCTGACCCAGAGGTAGAACCCGTCCATATCTCCTGCATCACCTGCACTGCAAGCAGATTCTTTATCTCTGGGCCACTGGGGATGGCTTTTAACCTCTGGATGCAGGTTAAAAACCTATGACAAAATGACTATAGGAGTGCTTAGGTTCCAGGCAGCCAGTACCTAGCAGTCACTGAACTATCCTGTTTCCCTAAATCAACACTTAGTTTTCCACCTACAGCTGATCCCCTAACCATCCTTGCCTCTGAAAATTCATTCATTCATACAATAAAAACTTACTGTCTACTGTATGCTGAGCAGCATCCTAGAGCCTAAAGATACATCAATAAACAAACAAAACATCCTG